CTTATTTGTAATTTATTGGAATTTTTTTAGTAAATTTTTCAAAATTTCTAAAAAAAGTTTTTTTTTTTATTTTCAAAATGAAAGAAAACGCACTCATACAATCTCGCATACAACCAACAATTTCGGTGTTTGCCCGTGGAACATTAACGAAAGTTTTGCCAATAAAATATTCCTTTTTGCTTGGTACTGGCGAAGATGGTGGCTTCACATCCACGGTAGTATCCATCTGATCCAGCACTTCACGAACACCAACCTGGCTTGGTATGTCACCCTTAAAGATGATTTATTAAAATTAACAAGAAAACCTGGAGAAACAACTCGATGTGCGGCCAAGTAATTTTTCAAATAACTATGCTGGAGTTCATTCAAACATGGTGGTTACGGGGCTGTACTGATGATTCCCGCTCCTAATCACGTCTCGTGCTGTCTGTGTTTATAGCTTAGGGATGAAACACAGGCAAGCTGTTTTCCACATAAACCACTTAACATTTCCTCCTCATATGACACACTGTTTTTTGGTACATGTTCAACACTACTATCTTCTTCACGCTATTACATTTCCCTCCCCCTTCCAATTTGATAAAATTCAACAAGTTTTGGATCTACGTCGTCTTATGCACGTCCTAGTTAGAGCCACCCAGTACTGGTTCAGCCCCTATATTTCCAAATTCTATCCTCCCACAAGGCCCAAACGGCCCGTGGAGTCTTTTTCTTTCACTTATAAACAGTACACAGAAGCTGCGAAATAAGAAGGTGCCAAAAAAGAGGTCTTATTACTTATTTTAGGTAAAATGAAACGATTACGACTGTAAAAATTGGCAAAAAACAGATGCATGACTTGTGCTCACACAGTGTTAATCAAAAATACAGTATTAAGAACCGCTTAGCCAACTATCTGAAACTAAGCGGTTGAGACAAGCCTAAGATATCAAGAAATGTGGGGTGCGTTATTTTTGCTGCAATCATCACACTGACGAGGTCCAGTTGCAGCACTAAACAGGAATGTATGCGACTTAATGGACCGAAACATTTCTATTCAGGTTTTTATTCCGATTTATCTTATTCACCTTCCTTTTATTCCCTTACTTTTAAACCCCTGCTTTTTACATAAACACATATCATCTAAAATTGAAATTACAATCGAGAAGAAAGCGGCAGTAAAACAACAGCCTATTAAAGTATCAAAATATTTTACATACGACCAGCTATTACCTAACCATCGTGTAACTGTTCCTTATCGATGCAAAGGCAATTTTTCGAGAATTACTACTTCAGAAGCCAGAAAATAACAAAAAAAAAGCAATGGCAAGTTTGAAAAGGAAAAAAAAAGTGTAAGGTCTGTCGGTGACTGCAATGAGCCACATATGATGCAATTTCAGCATGGCTATAAATGACAGTTGGAGAGGAAAATGAGGGAAAAAGGAAAATACTGGAACTAAAAAATGCACGGAAAATGAAGAATTGTAAAAACTATACGGAAAACGAAGAATTAAAATGAAGGATTAAGTAACTCGTTTTTTTTTCGCCATTTTTGCAACAAGTAAGTTAATCTTCGAAACTGCGATTAATTCAACTTCAGTTAAAAGTTAGCCTCTTTTTAGTTACAAAATAAATAGCAACGTGCACCAGACTAGCCGGTGCGACCATGCATTTTGTGCAATTCAGCCTATCGAACGATTGCCTATTAATGATTTTCACTGCTTTGTACTTTAGTCT